TTCAAATATTCAAATAATCCTTAAAAGCTAAAACAAAAGGTAAATAAATATGTTTATAATGTTATGTTAAAGTGGGTTACCTATAAACATGTTCATATTTAATGCAATTACATAAAACTTTGAGGAGCAAAAACCAAAGTAAACATATATAAGGAACACAATATATAGATGTCATATGGATATAGGAGGAACTTAACGTTTCGGAGTATATGCGTACTCCTTCATCAGGTGAATGAATGCCATGAGGCAGATAGCATGTATGTGTACATGTAGGGACAAAAAAAAATAATAAGATAACAAAAGGTGGAAACTAACAAAGGGTACAAGCTAACAAAGGAAGCCCAGTAGCAGCATTGGAACTCGCTCCCCTCGAATCCAGAGGGGAGGAGCCCTTTCGCTCGCATAAAGCCACGGGCTACGGGAGGAAGAAAAGGAAAAGGAGAGACATCCCCTCACCTGAACCTTCCCCCCGACCATCCACCACCGCTACTGCTGAGTGTCAGACACCAACACCAGCACCACCCTCTCTGACCGACAGTTTCGCCCAGACAGCCACTCAGGAGCCGCCCAACCTAGACCACAGCCAAACCCAGACCACTCCGGTCGAGGACCCCCCACGGGAACAGGGCTTCCGCAAAACTGTTCCAGAGAAAGCGGACTTAGTACTCAAGTGCTACAAGTCCCACCCTGACCTCCGCGGTGGTTACATTTCCACTCCCTCGGAGCAGATACGCGCCAGAGAAGGGGCACCGCTCGTCTTGGTGCAAACTATAGATGATGAAGAGTTCGAGCACGACATCCACAGCTACTCGGACCTATCTCACTTCATCCTAGATTGCGACCTCAAGACGAACAAGCACTTCATCGCCAACACCGCCGCCCTCCTCGCCAAGAGTCTCTTCAAGTCTCCCCTCCCCGAGGAAGAAAACTTGACCAAGAGACACCTAGCAGGCCACCGCCGATAAGCCTCTAGCCACACGCTCGCCAGCCGAAGCCGCCTTCTCACGCTTAAACCCCACCCCTCCAACCGAAGCCAAACCTTTCCATATTATTGGCTTTTCTTTAACCCCCCACCCCCACCCCCACCCAGCCAAACCCCACCCCCTCAGCTTTTCATTAGATTAGGCCGTAAAATTTTATAAATTTTTGGGTTGCACTTCTTTATTGATTCTTCACGCTTTTTTCCCCAATAGTATAAGTGCAACCCCGTGTGCGAAATACGCTAAAGTGTAATTTATTACACGCGGGAAGCGCACGTTAAATCTCCAATGACAGCTAGATAGGCAATCGTTCACCTGATGAAGGAGTAAGCTTATACTCCGAAACGTTGTGTTCCTCATAATAAAGAAGTTGTGACCCATATATTCTCTTCCTTATGTGAATCACTTCTAAATGCCTTTCAAAGACCTAAACATATATACTTTTCTTCAGGGCTCCATATTTCCTATATTACTCGTCAGCATATATCAAAAACGTGCAAGAGGTTTATAAAATACTTCTTTAAGACCATGTGGAATTATGAAGCGCCGTGTACAATGCATTGTAAATATATGCTCGCGACGAAGCCTGGTGCACGTGCAACAGTGGCACAGAACGGTTGCCATGTGCATCACTCAAGAGCGACATAACATAAATGCAGTCTGTGAAGAGTTCTGATTTTCCACACGAGAATGTTTTGTAATATTGTAAAAAAGTAGGGATGTGTTTTAAGTAAGGAAATATCCTCGTACCTCTCCATTTCTTAAAAATAAGGGAGCCTCTACGTAACGTATTTGGTACATGCCCTCCCCCATCTATCGTTTCCAATGATCTATATGTAATTTGGTACATGTAGAGACCCAGACCTCCCCATCTATTGTCATCGATGATCTATATGTAATGCACGAATTCAGAGCATCACATTGAAAGACTAAGTTCATCATAATGCTTTATTTTTCAACATAATCTCCTTGCTACACTTTTGCAACGACGTTGGAGGGATTTTTTCGAAGTTTGGAAGAGGTTCTTCCCTTGGCTGTCCAAAACGTTGGCCAAGATCCGGCTAGAGCTTTCTTCATGCTTAGGAACAGATGGAAGTCTGACGGAGTCAGATCAGGAAAAAAAGGTGGGTGTTGGTCGATTGTAGCCTTTACAATGAGTGACGTGTACACTGGCGCAATGTCCCGATGGAAGAGAAAACCTTTTCTCAGCTTCAACAATCTCTTATCTCAATTTTACCACGACACCCTAGGCCTAACCACGGAGGCCATAACCTTTCAAGCTGATAGGACAGTCTTTGCCTTCTTTGATTGTGGCAATGTCAAATGATTTCACTGTTTTGATTGTTCCTGGAAGTGATGAACCCAGGTTTCACCCAGAGTCACAAATCATTTCAAGAACCTTTCTGGATTAGCTTCAAACAGAGTTAGAATGCCACGAGACATGTTGTGTTCGATGTTTCTTTTTTGTTAGATGTCAGAAGCTTTGGAACCCAACGTGTTGATACTTCATTGCAACATTTTCTGTGATAATGGGATGTGCTATATCTTCCTAGTAATGCCTACCGAACTAGCAATATGACGCTCATTCACCGGTCTGTCATCGCCATATCATGGATTCTATGGATCATTTCTGGTGTTGCTGACGTCACAGGTCGTCTTCTACTCTCCATACCACGCTTAAACTCTGCTGCCCATTTTTACGAAGGCATCGGAATCATGTTATTTCGTGTACAATTTCAAATTTTCATGTCATATCCCGAGGGTCGGTAGTTTGATCCCCGACCGCGCCATACCATCATAAAACGTTTAAATATTGTTACCCTGCCTGGGGCTCGATATGGACGGTTTAAAACAAGGACTGGTCGGCTTGCTGTCAAGTATAATATGTCTGAATAGAATATTTATGTTAAAACTGCGACATTGTATCTCAATGGGATACCATTACAAAACAGGCATCATTCTGGACTAGAAGGTACTAGCTCCCACCCCACCCACCCAACCCCCACCCCCGATTATTGCGGATTGTTGTTTTGCAACAATAGGGGCGGTCGGGTAGCCTAGTGGTTAAAGCGTTCGCTCGTCACGCCGAAGACCCGGGTTCGATTCCCGACATGGGTACAATGTGTGAAGCCCATTTCTGGTGTCCCCCGCCGTGATATTGCTGGAATATTGCTAAAAGCGGCGTAAAACCAAACTCAATCAATTTGCAACAATATTGTGTTTTTGTCATGTGATCAACATTAATCTGTTTGGATCATGAAGAAAACTACATCAGACAATGTAGCTGTTTTGACATACAACCCCAGACTATGTTAATAAGACCTATGTTTGAAATGAGCAAAAAAGAAACAGATATCCCATACCTTTGGTCTTCCCGCACGGATTAACCTATTGAACCAGAAAAGATTCAAAGCTCTCGTAAAATCAGTCGACGAAAGCAAGATTTAGATTTTTATCCTAAAATGCAAATTGTCTGGGTGTTTGCAGATGAAATCACATTTTCTTCTACCGTTAAACATCATCATCCCCATGGGCTCCTATAGTGCGCCCGACCATCCTGTTGTGGAAGACATTTCATCAGTGACACAACTTATGCCCGACGCTGTTCCCTATTTTGAACTGTACCACAGGTTTCCGTATTGTTTCTGGTGAAAAATTGACTTGCATTTGCATGTGTTTGTGACGTCTGCTACCAGAATGGCAGGATGCACTGACATTTTCGATTTGCAATTCCCTACTTTGACTTGTACTATATGGTCCCGTGTTTCTTCAGGCAAAACATGACATGCTTATGACAGGTGCCACCGTTGGGGAAGGATACGCTCACCTTTTAGTGGACACCTGGTGCCATCGCAATTTGATAGTGATTCATACACACATGCTCATGACACAGCGGGAATCGTACACTCGCCTCTGCAAATTTATTCTTACTATGGAATGGAAAGGGTTTTGTTAGCTTTCATTTAATCACGTGGTTCCAGTCCGGGTAAGGGTCGGCAGTCATGTGACTGAGATCAGTTATAGATATCAGTGTGTGCTTCTCAATAATTGCCACCTGACTGCAGACCTAGCCCGGATTCTAACCACGTGATCGAAACTCAACGATGATGTTTATCGCTAGCAAAATGGTATTTCCTGATGAGCACATTTTGCAATTTTTGTCCTTAATGTAAGAAATATTACTATAGGTGGTCGTGCGTGTATGAAGTTTTTCAGTCAGAGAGTAACTCTTTGTATCTTACTTCATCGGAGTTCGAAGTGTGTAGGTATACATAATGTAGGTATGCATGGTGGTTATCGAAGCTCAACTACACACAAAACACATACTGAGGTGTTGTTCCCCTATTCCTACACCTGAGTTGTTATTATCTACACATGTACAATGCGGACTGATCTTATCTGTCCATGTACTGGATGGTGGTACGTTACGTTTTGCAGTGATTTTAAATCACAGGTGTCATTTATGATTAGTATTGACATTCGCTTATCAATGTGCTGTTGTCAGATATTTTTGGTTTCTAAATCAAATTCACCTTTACCAGATATGGTTCAGAATCGACTCTTTGGTGTTATTCTGGGTCTAATACACACGTGTTTTCATTTTAGTCCACATGTTTATGTATATGTATCACATATTCAAAAGTGTCCCGATGGCTATAGTGTTAGACAGAACCACCACTCATGTAATAGCCTACCAAACTACAGTAAACTACGTTTATAACGAACACGAACGGATATAACGAACTGGGTTTTTTTTGTTCCGGCCATTTGCTGTATATATGTTTATAACGAACTACGCCTATAACGAACTAAAATTTGTGGTCCCTTTGAGTTCGTTATAACCGTAGTTTACTGTAGGTGTTTCGATTATATTTGACAGTAGGGAGTGATACTGTGGCTGGACTCTGGCCTTAACCCATTGCTCTCAGTAGCTGATAAGTTGAAAATAGATAGGGCTATATTTGCCCTCATAAAGGCAATGCTGTACACAGTAAAAGTTTAAATACAAAAACTCACACATCTGTCCGTGACACTTTATTCAAAATAATCAATATGACTGTACCATGTGCCGTAATGGGCATAGATGGTGTCGGTTTCAAATTGCAACAGGTTACCAGGAAGCGATTTAATCGTGTCATCTTATTTCACATTACAAACAAACACATTAGTCGTGTCTCCTAAGGTACGTGCCCGCTCGGGTTTCTCTGCCCAAATGGGGTTTCTCAAAGTTGTTTCTGTGAGAGTACTATACCAATAGCGTTTCCAGTAAAATGTGATGCCGGACAAATGTTGACATGGTTTGCATGCTTGAATGAAAGATATTTTGAACCAAATGGAATCATTATCATGTCATTTAGTGGTCATAAAGAATTATTTGAGCTTGAAACGCACAGTTGTCAACGCTATTGGCAAAGTAGCTGCGTTTCATAACATTTTTCTGCACTCTTCAAAACTCGGGCAAGGCGGGGTCAGGATAGATGAAGCGGGAATGTACCTAAGTGAGCAACTATTTGCTAACAACTAATGCCCTAAGATACAAATAACTTAACAGTGAATCTCAAGTCATTTTGTATGGTAAACAAACGTCAGTACCTTATATTATTCAATTTGTATGGTTATAAGTCCTGCAAGAATATAACTATCAACATTTGGAACATTTACAGTCTTGATTGCGTATGTGTATGATGTTGTCTAATATTCAATTCATGTTTGGACAGACATAGCGGCAAATTTCTGATGTTAGTCATCTCCCCTGGGCGTCACGTGTTTGAAATATGGTGGTGCTGGAAGTTGTCAAATATTCCCACGGCTGTTGCCTCCCTTTGATGGCAGTTATCAGTTTCCAGTACGGTAGACTTCAGACCATGAATCCGGGTTGGAAGCAGGTCCGAATCCGCCCCCTCGGGAATACCTACAACAATAAGAAATATTCAGATATATGAGAATTCTTTGACAGGTGAAACATTCAAGGAGTTACAAGTACCGGTTGTCTGCAATTATCTTTTCTTTGACCACATGGTACATATTTCGAACATATTCTGTGTATGGTTCTAAACTAATGCAGAAACATTGATACATCTGGAACTTGTTATTTCTATAACAGTACATGCGTGTGATTTGATCAGTATTCCCATGTAAACTGACGTTATCTTCGTGCCACAAGGGAGATCCCTGATAACCAAATTGTGTGTGATGGAGATATCTCGGTTAACGCCGAAGAAACAATCAACTACATATTGATGTATAAGTAATGGCAATATCTACTGATGAATCAGTAAAATTTTGGACGAATTGAACTCTGTTGCGAATGTCATACACATGGTTAATGAAAATTCCACACCATAAAACTGTTCAATCTCATGATGTTACATTGGCTCAAGTGACATCTTTCATCTACAAAATTGTGTCAAATCAAACAGCAAATCATTATGAACCATCACCTTGAGAGGTTTTCATGCATGCAACAAATTCAAGTCAGAGTGATGAAAATGAGACCAGAAACAAATTGACGGAACGCTTTCCTACTATAATACGTACACATTACAGTCAAACACCGTTGTGTCGAGGTTGAAGGGACCTACGTAAATACTTCGAGCTAGCCTAGGTTCGACACAACCGAAAAATGATGAATAAGGATATAAGTGACAAAAAACGTCCCATATTCATAGGAAATCTCTGCCAAAAACAGAGTCGAATGTATCATGAGCATTTGTTTATGAATCCTGTGTTTGAGGAATACACAAGGAACAAGCTTTGACTTCGAGACAGCCGAAAGCTTGACACAACAAAGTACAACACGGTGTTTGTTTAGACTTATTCATTTGCACATTGCTACCATTGAACGATCGTTATTTTATTAGTCGAGATGTATGTAACATCTGAGCACCTTAGATTTGGGAATATTAAATCCAATGGGTATTTATTACATCGAACGAACACCACATCACGGAGTCATGATCAGCAAGGTTGAAGTAGTGATTAGTTCAGTGGGCTGTTCTTATGACCATTGAAACTAATCGCACAAACACATCCAAGACAACATACTTTACAGAAGGCAGATGGGAGTCAACTCATTACGTCTCTTCTGTGTTTCCAATGTAAGTCAACAGTATTCGAACAATTGTCGGCCACGCTGAGAGGGGGACATTATCGGTGTGCTTTCAGCAGGAAGGAGTCATTTAGAAAATAGACACTAAGTGTTTTCATATTTGCTGGTGTTATTGAGTAAACTTTCCGCGCAAAGAATACTCAATAACACAAACAAATCTGCAAACACACAATGTTTATCGACATTGTAAATGCGAAATGCTGGGGGTAATTTTCCACTTCTTGTACGTGTGCTGAGACAGCTGTGAGACGGGCATGACGTCACGCTGCAATGATTTGATCGTCAGAGTACAATGGATGACATCAAATGCCTCCATGACAACTGAATTGAATGTCTGGCAGCATGCGGTGGTAAAACAGACCGAAAGGAAATTGTTAAAATATTAATATAATGAATATGTATGTCCTCATTGCTCGACTCCAGATTTTATAAATGAAACGAATCATCTTCATTTGAAGTACTCATACTTCGGGCCTTGGATCCTATTTTACAAAGTATTACTTCACACATTCCCTTTCGTTGTCCAAAGACAAGTTGCCAGAGGTTTCATGTGAGTGCCCACTGAAGACTGTTTATAACACAGGCAATGTCATACGTGCAACATCTAGGGTTGCCAGAGTCAGAAGCCGTAGAGACTTACAGAATAAGACTGTGAACGTTGATAACATGTGCAGCAAAGCGTCAACAACTTTATCGACCTCCAAGCAAAGCATTTTCTTGTTCGACCCCATCAGGTCCCACACAGACTGCAATTATATTGCGTAGGCGTCGGCTGCACTGCCTCACTGTTTTTTCAATACACTGTTTCCGAATGCAACCCGTTAACTTCTAATCCGAATGTTTCAGTTAGGCAAGTTTAATTCCCTAGCAGAATGTTCTTCGGGTTCTTCAAGAACCGATCAAATATTTATCAAAACATTTGTCAATATCAAATGCTTATTTCATGAATCTGAAAAATGCTTACGGCTAAGAGATGTGATCGGGCATTCTTTTAAATGATTCCTGTGTGTAAAAAGCAGTCTGATCTATCAAAATATACGTGTTTACCCCAGGTCTTCTTTCGTTAATACAATCAAGGAAGGACTATCTTTATATTCACAGAAAGTACTTGAGACAAGTGGAATTAATACCATGTTCATTCTCAAAAACCCAATTTCTTACAAACGTGGTTCAGGACATTCTATCAAAAATGTAAACAATTGTCATCTGAAGATTACTGGGAAATGAATATGTAAAATGATGGACTTCGTCATAGATAGCATCTATGTAAAAGTTTGGGATAGGACAATTCAGGCAAGAAGTAGGCATCTCCATGGGCAGCAATTGTGTTCCCCTTCATGCTGATCTGTTTGGGGCAATCACTTGAAGAATCATGCACACCAAGTTTCGTTTTAATCGTTAAGGCAGCTTTATAAAAGATAACTTTAGATCATGTTTTCAATATGTGTGCAGTTTAGATAAATAAGAGCGACAAAACCCTTTCCATAATCATAAGACTGAACTATCTGCTAAAAGCAGAGTCCTTTGTATGATTCCGACTATATCACAAGCATGTGTTTATGATTCACTATCAAATAGTAAAGATACCAGGTGTTCGAACCATTGCAACAATCGTAGGTGTATCATTGTTTTGGACTTGCGTACCGGGTACCTGCCTCGTCATTCAAACGTGTAAGGCGAGCTAAAACGCAACAGTGGTCACTAAGTAGAGATAATGACTTTATCAGGCTGACAATAATCGTTTAAAGGAAAAAACAGTTAATGAGCAGCATAACATCGTGAGATATCACATTCTAAATGCGTCCAGTTTTTCTATGACAAGTAAAACTTTAGGGTAACTCAAATGTCAAACAAAGGTTCCAGTGGATGTCAAATATTGTTGGTATGTCTTGATACCAAACTTTTGAACACTAGACCTGTGCTTTGAGTTGCTTTTGCTTGCATTGCAGGAATTACATATCTACCAGATATTGACATATCGCATCACTTTAAGTGAGATCTTTCGGATCTTTACTTTACGTCATCTCTGTTGTTAAACATTGGGTAACATGCATCTATACTGAGTACACACCATTTAGAAGGACGCGCAATGTTCCTTATCAATGTAATTTGCTTGAGTCTGTATTTCATTACACAATACCGATGAATCATCGATCAGGGATGGTTATTTCTGTCCCTAAATTCAATAAAGGAGCCTATGAAAAATTTACAACTGTCAGAGAAAGCTAGATATTTGTTCCTCTTTGATTCTACATTCATATCTATTATGTAAAGGCCCAGCGAATCAATTTTTCGTCTTAAAATACGAGTATAAGATGTCATTATCCGCTACAAACAGACTGATGAGCACTTGAAATAACAAATAAGAACAATGGTCGTGTTGAATGAGCATACGGAGTGTTCTCACGGTGACGACGTCGTGGTGCGAGGAGTTACTAGATCGTGTCGAGAGCGCTGTCACTCATGCTGCGATCACATCTCCACGTCAATACCATCTGATCGCCCCAACTCCTGGAACGTCACCGCGCTCCCTGACGTTATCTGTTCTGCTGCGGACATGGATGTGTAAGCGTGCGTGACAACAGCTTAGAATTGTGTGAGATGCTGCGTGGTAATTACGTGCATACTTTCAAAGAATTAGCCGCCTCCTTCGCCCCATCACAAAAATACGAAAGCAATGTCATTAAGGCTGTTAGCTGGAGACATACATACATGGATGCAAGCTATTTCGAGAAACTCAAAAAGGCTCAGCATGTATTGCTCGTTACGGCAGTGACAGTGCCACTCTCGTTCAATTTCTAGGAGAACGTTTGAAGTCTGGGAAAGGTTTGCTCGTTCATTGGGTGTGCTATAACAACATTATAACCGTAATATCTCATCCTCATCACTGTATGAATGTCCAATACAATACATCCGCTGATCAATGTTAAAATATTACGTTTTAAACAACAAATCGATATGTCTTCCCAATGGCATCTCATTTTAAAAAAAAGAACGAAAACTGATCCGAAAAAATATATATATATATACGTGTATTATTTATTAACTTGTGAAAGTTGTCGATAGGTGAACGGAATTTATGCGTACGTCATTGTTTTTGTCATGAGAAAAGCCGATAAAAGATATTCTTGGAAGACATTTCACCTTTTTGCGATCGCAATGATTAAATCTCAAACTTTTTCAAAGATGGGGAGGGTAACTTGTATTTGACATACGTGACGTATTAGGGTAATGAGAAACATAATTTATGGTGAAAGCTGCTTTTCACGGGCCAATAATCCACGTCTACTCTCTTGTATATGACTTGTATGGTATGATTTTGTATGATTTGTCATTACTCGTTAAAGAAAGAACAATCCTTGTCTTGTAAAACCCCATACAAATCGGTCGAGATTGCTTGTCACGCCACAACTCACCGTCACTCACTTCGAATTACCATGCTGAAAATCTAGTGACAGTCAAAACATAGATTTAATTATCACTCACAAATATTTTTCCAATAATAAGTAATGTACGTTGCGAACGCGTAAAGATAAATTCTGTCATTTACGATGGATTCGGTCTCGCGGTTTACAAGTTGGCATAATCCACGTACATCCTCCTATTTACACAACTGAGTCACAATGTTAAACATGGATATAAGAACGCCACGTTGATACAACTGTTAATTACAATGCACATGCTAATGGTGATATGTTGATACAATCAGTCGCGGATGTATTTCTTGAGTTAACAGTAAATATCCGTAGCGTGATCGTTATTACATTTATCATCAATGCCAGTGCACTTCAAACATTTGTTTG